TTGGGAAACTGTGTTGTCTAAATGAATAAGCATACATCGAATAAATTCTGTAACTACCCAAAATATGTGGTTTAATCAGTTCATCATATCTATTTGGAAGACAAATTTAATCATAATTACTTTTTGTGATTTCCTGAGTGGTGTGCATATAATATTACTTTAATATTATATAAAGCAAAAGGGATGTTCTCACAGTAATTAGATAATCATTTTTTTAATTTTTTTTATTGATGCATATGTAATATTACTTTAATATTACATAAGAAAATAAGAGTAATTAAGTAATCACGCTTTCTTTTCTATCGGAATTAATTTAAAACAGAGAGGTTGAATGAATTTAAAACTGATAAATATAATTCTTACAAATAATAAGGCAGATTTATTTTTATTACTGAAATTAATTCAACTTACATAAAGTATACAAATCTAATTATTATGAGCATGCATGATTAAGTCAATTAATGGCTTTAATCAAGCATATTATTTTAGTGTTTTTTTTTTTTAAATTGAAGACCTCTAAGTCCGGTCGAGATGGTTGCAAATTCAATACCTCGCACTGTCAACTTTAAGTCCGGTCGGGATGATTTTAAATACAAGACCTTGTACTATCGATTTTAAATCCGGTCAGGAAGAATTTAAATTGAAGACATCGTGTCATCAACCTTAGGTCCGACCGAAATGGTTTTAACTCGAAGACCTTACGCCGTTGACCTTAGGTCCATGTAAGAAGAAATTATGACAAACGTCGTCCTGATTTCTCCATCGGTAGGGAGGAAACGTCGGGAGGTTGCCAAAATTTTCTTAATTTATATGAGAATGTGTTTGACAACCTTCAACCACAAAATTATCTAAGAAGTTTGATCCCTTCCTTAAATCTTTGTAAATTTTTTTGACTGCCAAAGGTAAAATGACTTGAAAATAGAGCTAAATTTATTGCGTGAAGTTGAAAGAGTTGCTCTCTTTATCTTCTAAACAAAAGAGCTTGAAGTTATCTACAATAATATATATATGAGAATTGTTGGAAGCACGAACCCACATTTTATGATAAAATCTCTTTGCGATTTCATCTTTATAAAAAAGTTGTGAAAAATTAATATTTTCACTAATACAAGGTATGTACAAACTCTTCAAACAACAAATTCAAGCAAGTTCTCTAAACACCAAGCTCAAACTCAAATAACAAATACCTCAAGCTCAAATTCAACTCAACATACACAAACTCTCTAGTATCATTCAACAAAGCTCCAAAGTAGTACAAGCTCCTAAAAAAGCAAATGAATGAAATCAATTAAATTTTGAAATTAAATGCTAATACGAAAAAAGAACAAATGCTACACTAAGCTACAAACAAAAAAAAAGAGAAAAAAAGAGTAAAATAATGTTGAAAGGAAAAAGAGCATAGTAAAATGCTGAACTACTAAAACAAGAAAAGAGCAACTATAGTGAGAAAGAACTGGTATCAAATTCAAACCAAATTTGAACTTTCGGGCATCCTAGTATATAAGGGAAATGTTATGAGACCCACCTTTTGGGCCGTTTAGCATACAGGGCTAGATTGTAAGACCCATCGTTACACAACTTCTAAGGAAACCATAAGACCTATCCAACCAAAATTTTTTAGGCTACCTCAAAAAGAGGCTGTAAGTCCCACTATCAGGGCAACTCATAATTGGAGCCATAAGCCTCAAACTAAAAAATTAATGAGCAACTTCTAAAGAAGCCATAAGCCCCTACCCAAATTAAATCACATGGTCAACTCCTAATGGGAGCCGTATTGCCCCAAACTAAACAAATTAATGGACAACTTTTAAGGAAGCCATAAGCCCAAAAAAAAAATCAAATCAAAATCCACATCTAACCACTTCAGTCTATTCGGGATCTCTGAGAGGAGGCAACTCATGACTGCTAATCAGATTCCCTGGACATTATGATCAATGATTGTTAGTGTTGGTAGACTGGAACTACGGTATACCTATGACGGCGGAACCATGAGATCTTGATCGGGTTTACCTCAATTTTCCCCACAATTGAGACTAAATCATATAAAAAGTATTCATCTTTAATCGAGAGTTTTCTCTTATGTGTTAAGAGAAGTAATTAACTATGAGTGCTTGTGTTCATAGGAAGTAAGGACCCCAGATCTAATTAAACCTTGACACTACTCTCTAGGAAAATCTGGTTAATTTCAATCTGACTTAAGGGAAATAAAATCCTACGGCTACAAAATGGGATTCATGCATTCGTGCCATTTTTCTTGAGCCAACAAAGTGTACTAGATATGCAAGTATATGCGCAGATCAAGTAATAAAGTGATAGAGAATAGTGTTGATCCCATGAGAAAGTGTTCATCTTAATTATAATTAAATTACTACTACCAACTATATATGCACGATTTATCGTATTAAATGAAAAGCTATTGTTTTTAAGTTTTTGTCACTTAATAAAGACTTGTAATACAAATATATTCTAATATAAATAAAGTGTTTTTGATTAATGAATGAAAAATAATATAATTTTTATATATAATAAAACTCTTAATTTTAGATGTGAATCAGAGTATATACATCCCAAGATCAGTATCGAGCTTGCAGGGATGAAAAGGGAGGTTTATGACCTTGCTACAATTTTAACATTTCTATAGAAACTAGAAGGTTTAACATCCAATCTGTAGGTATGCCAAAATTCTATTTAAATAATCCTTTTTATCTAATATTCCTTCATCGAGAAAATATATCACACTTGATATTAACTACACACATAACCATTATACACATTAAATTAAGAATGGGAGATATTAAAAACATCTATAAACTAATTCAAGGCACAAGAGTCTAAAGAGATATTAAAAACAATTTTGATAAGGAGTATTATATTAAGGAGATTAAAAAAGCTTTATTTTAGATGATAATGACAAAACCCATGGCTTTAATGGCTTTATGGCCCAATTCTTCAAAGATTCTGGGATATTATTCAAGCTATCAAATAGTTTTTTTCACACCAAATCTATGCCCTTTAAAGTGAAACATTATGCTATTATCTTAATCCCCAAAACCTTACATGCCTCTAGAATGGTTGACTTTTGGCCTATCTCCTTATGTAATGTTACTTGTAAAGTTATTGCCAAGCTTCCTACTAACATATTTAAGGAATTACTCCCTAGCACAATCCATTTGGCCTAAGCTGCTTTCATTGATGGGAGAGATATTTTTGATAATATTATTTTTAGATGTTTTAACTCATCTTTTATTCCATTTTTCTTCCTTTTTGGAGAGGATGATGAGTTGGTTGGATGGATGCAAACAAAAAAATCTATCTTTTGCTGGTATATTTCAACTCATTTGTTCCTATCTTTAGAACTAACTATACTACTTGCTGAGATTTACCATCCTCCCAAAGAAACGTAGAAAGAAAATTACTAGTTTGATAAACAACTTCCTTTATGGGAATGATAATAATAACAAGATTTACACTATTCCTTTCAAATCTTCTGCTATCCCTAGAGATAACGATGGCTTTGGTCTTCCATCTATTGATAACCTCCTTTCTATTTCTAAGGCTAAAATTATTTGGCAATACATCAACCCCACACATCTCTGTCTAATTGGTTCCATAAAGTTTATGGTCCCATCTGGATTAGACCAAACAACTTTGTTTCTCAATTTTGGAAAAGCTTGCATAAAAAAACCCTTAATATGAGACACAATATTGACCTAAAAGTCTCTATCAATTGACAACAATACTTCTTCTAAGATCCCTAGTTGAATGGTTATTCCCTTGTGGAAAAAAATGGCATTGGGATTCTTGAGTTCTTCCATTGTTCTCCCAAAGTCGGGTCTTCAACTTTATGGTTAATGGTGTATGTATGTTCCCAAATGGTATAGCTAATCACATTGTCAACAAAATCCTTAGCATCAATATTTAGGATTGTGAGAAGTATTGTACTTTGATGGGGAATTTTTTTTCTAACAAAATGAATTACTACAATTTTCACAATGACTTACCCAAATTACCTTGGTCTAAATATATTTGATTTAATTAAATATGTTTTCCTTATTTGGAAGATCATCATGATTGGGTTAAAAATTGCTAATGTTCTTAGTAAAAAGTTATGATGATTAATGAGAAGTGCGTGCTCTGTTCCCATTATAATACGAATCACTCACACTTATTCTTTGATTGTGAAATTTCATTGCATATTTTGAAGTGCTCTAATCCTTTTGGGAAAATATTCTAAATTGGTAGCTTTATGTTATAAGTCTGACTCACTATGATAATATTTCTTTTACTGTTAGTAGAAACTTTTTTTTCTTAGTTGTTTGTATTTCTACATATTATATTTGATAAGAGAGCAATAGTTGTATTTTCAGAGGTGCATCTCTTAATTCTATGATTATCATTGAGAAGATCAAATTTGTCTTTAGAATGAAAAGTAAGAAATGGTGTCATATTCTTGATTTATTTATTCATCTGAAAAATTTATATTACTATTATGATCCTTTGTTTGGATGAGGCTCAATTGTGGCATTCCCTAGCTTTTCTTACATGCTACATTCTCTTTAGAATTGGCTGCGATAGTTGTAACTTTTCTTTTGATTGAAAGAAGTTCCTGCGAATATATAGCGTCTGAATTGTGGTTGTTGCTGCTGAATAATTTAAATCACACTTTTAACTTTTAGGATAGTTAATGTTTCTTTGAATATGAAGTCAGCCTTTTCGGCTACTGCATTATATTTGGATTCTACTTATTTCTAGCTTGCAGTAGTATTTTATTTGGGTCAATTATATTTCAGCCGCTTTGGGTTTGCTGGCTTGTTAAAAATGATTGGGTTAATATCAATTAGTACTTCTTGATTGCATATTTTTCTTACAACTTTTACTGTTTTTTCGTATTTATAAGCTATTTTATTGACTTATGTTTTGTAATTTTTTTATTTAGTTAATGAATGTTGGGCGTGATTGTCAATTTCCTATAAAAAAGTAAAGAAGCTCATAGGGAATTCTGAGTACCAAGTTGTACCAGGTACAGACAGTTTTTTTTGCCTAAACGAACCTAGAGGAGATGTAATAAAAGTTCCTACTTCTTTGCGTCGGTTGCCGCGGCCATGAGGAGGAGATGGAGATGATGCTCCTCGGTCTTTTTCCCTCTTGGGCGACGATTTTGAAGAGGATAAAGGCGGAAGCAGAAAGATAATGGCGGTTGTGATGATGGGTGCGGATGATAAGAACCCCATCTTCCACGACTTTCTTGCCATGAGCTGCGGGAACTCGCCGGCTACAGTTGCAGCGGCGGCGACGGAGGGTATGGAGACATCAGCGATGGTAACGGAAGCACCGGCATCTGCTTCAGCCTCTGCTGGAGTTTCTTCTACCGTACACGGCCTCGTCAAGGGAAACGCTGATATGTTTTCAGGTTAGTTCTCCGCTCGGATTAGATCTCAGCTTATGGTTATGCTTTCTGATCATTCATTCCTTCTATGTTCTTCGTAAACCTGTTTGCTGTGTAAGCTATTGCATGTGGCCAAGTTTTTTATAGACGGTTTGTGCATTATATGTAGAAGTGGAAAATGGTGGACTATGCTTTTAAAAATTTTCCTATAATTTGCTTTTCGTGGCTGTTTGGTATCGGATTTGTACTCGGATTTAGGCCGGATTTACGGTAAATCCTGCTCCTGCCAAACAATTTTGGAGCACTGCGTAAATACCAATCCCGCATAAATTCCGGATTTACAGATTTACAACTTAAATCCGGGATTTACTTAATCCTGTCGTTTGGTGAATTTACCAATTTACGGACTACGGGATTTATGAGCTTGCCGATACGACACCTTCGAAGGAGGCGAAGCAGCGAACGAACTCCCGTCGTGAGAAGCAAGCACAACACGCGAAGCTGAAGCAGCCACGAAGAAATGACGTCGAGGAAAAGCGACGAAGCAATAAAAATCAAACCCTTGCGACCTACTAAATTATAAATTAATCTAAGTTAGTATTATTAATATAATTTAATTTAAATCATTAATTTAAAATAATATGAGTATTAATTAAAAAAATTATAATTTTAAAAAATATTTAACAAATTAATTTGGATTCAATAATATAATTAGATAATTATTAATATAATAAGTAATTTATCATTGTAATTGATACATCATCAAAAATTGTCTTGATCGGGCACGAATCTCGAGGCAAAATCATGTTGGAAACTTCTGAAATTAAAATTGGGATCATCCAAACTCCAATTTCAGCCAACTTATAGTGGAACTTAATGTCTTGGAAATACGAACCCAAGGACACCAACTTCGACTCAATCTGAGCCCAAATGGGTTTGAATCGAGGACTCGAAGCGATGTTGGAATGTTCAAACCACAATTTGGATTACCAAACTGTTTCCAAACATGACATTCTTATATTCGAATCAAGCGGCTCCACGAGACAAATCCAACAAGCTCAAGATCGCAAAATTCGAACATCATTAAGACCTTCAAATGTTTGATGAGCGATCCATGATCAAGGGATTAATCGGCCGTCCATCCAAACCACTCCTCATTTACCCTTGATCTTTCTCCTATTTATGAGCCATGCCACTCTATGAAATCTATAAATAGACCCCTCCTCCCTCTTGATAAGTGGCTCCAAGCAAGAGAGCAAGAGAGAGCTCGGAGATCACTATTGCCTCCTCGCTCCTCCTCGACCAGCACCTGGAGTTCCGCCGAACCACCACTTCAGTCCCTGTGCTCCATTGGACCACCACTCAAGGCCATGAGTTCCGTCGGACCACCACTTGAGGCCCTGAGTTCCGCTAGACCACCACTTAAGGCCCTGAGTTCCGCCGGACAAACACCTGACGCCCGGAGTTCTGTCGGACCACCACCTGACTCTCGGACTTATGCCGTACCACCACCTGAGTCCCGGACTTATGCCGGACCACCACTTGAGACCCAAATTTCTACCGGACCATCACCTGAGGCCCAGACTTCTGCTAGACCACCACCTAAGGCTCGGACTTATGCCGGACCACCACCTGAGGCCGGACTTCTGACGGACCATCACATGAGGCCCGGACTTATATTGGACCACCACCTAAGGCTCGGACTTCTGCCGGACCACCATCTGAGGCTTGGACTTCTGCCGGGCCAACCACCTAATGCCTAGAGTTCTACCGGAGTACTGCCCTACTACTATGATCTTTTTGACACTCAGTCTCCTACCGACTATGGTCATTCTGACCTCCATTGCCTACTACGATCATTCCGACTTTCATCGCCAAACAACAGTATTTCTGACCCCTCCTACTACAGTCCTTCTGACCTCCATTGCCCAACAACAGCTTTCTGACCCCGGTCTTCCACTGACTACGATCCTTCAGACCTCCCTTGTCAGACAACGATCTTTCTGACCCTTTCTCCTGCCGACTACAGTCCTTCCAACATCCGTTGCCGACTACGGTCTTTTCGATCTTTATCCTATCGACTATGGTCTTGTCGACCAAACAAACATGTTTATGTTGATTATTATAACTCCCACCATGTAATCTGATCTATATGATGTACATTTGTGACATCAAGCCAAAGCCTTCTCCCAAGGAAGGGCCTCATTTGTAATCAAATGCAAATACTAGTGGATTCATTCAAACTGAGCCAGACCTCGTGGTTTTTCCCCCTTTTTTAGGGGTTTCTACATAAAAATCTTGGTGTCTCCTATAAATGCTGCACCCTCTCTCTCTTATGAACGCTACACTATCTCCTTCATCTGCTTGTGTGCTGATTTTTGTACAACGCTAAGACGTTAAATTATATATTTTTCTATCGCCGCGAATATTCCAAGACGCAATAATAACTTATTAATTTTTTTAAAACTTTTTAATTAGTTATAATGATAAATAATATAATTAGAAGTTAGCTTAATTATTACTAATTATTAAATTAATTATTTAGGAGTTAATTATCAAATTAGTTATTATATTACTAATTATCTAATTATCAAACAGTCCCATAGAGAACACGCAAATAAAATTCAAAACACATTAAATTTAATTTCTAAATGAACCAACAACCTTAAATCTTTGATTATGTTGCCAAATAGTTTCTTAGGATTGATCAAGATTTAACCTACGTCATACCAAACAATTTTCAGGATTTAACACTCAATATTTAGTCAGATTTATAAGATTTACTAAATCCCACTAAAGTTCAATCTTACTTGTTGCCAAACAGCCCCTTCTAGTTATTCTACTGTGACTGCTTGTTTAAGTTTATTTCATTGTTACAAAATAGTTGATGTATATCTTTCAGATTGTTTCCTTTACATTTGTAGATTGCAATGTCTGTCGGAACAAAAAGGGTTTTTGATTTCTATAGTTTTTTCTTTTTTGCTGGGTTTGTGCACGCTATACTTTGAACTTTGATTTCATTTTTCTTTGACCTGTTTTTTTTTAGTGAATCTCAATTTTTTTGTATGTCATTTGCAAGAATAGATGCGTTTTGGATGAGCCATAACTTTTCATATCTGCCTATTGATCATAAGTTGTTGAAAGTATTTTCTTTTGCCATTGCATTAAAGTGATTATAACTAAACTATTATACTGTTCTCGTGGAGCATTATTTGTCTTATTATGTGGCTTCTTAAGAAAAAAGATTTTTACATTTTTTATTTTTCTATTTTCTGTTTGCCCTTTGTTTAAACTTGATGTTCTTGTCAGAAGACGTTTCCCCCCCATTGTGTCAGATGCTGCTGAACTAAATGCTTGATATTCATTTTTAATCCTTGAGCCAAGAAGAAATTGTTACTAATTTTTAAATGATTACTTATCACTCCCTTTATACTTGTTTGTAACCCCTAGAATTAGATATTTATAGAAATTTCTTTCAGACTGCTAGTTCTTTCTATACGCATTAAGTTCATTTCTGTAATATGTGGCTCATAGTAATTAGTAACAAACAATAGCTGTATAAAAAATGAAATCTATTTAGTCATCAACCATGAAATTGTTGCCAGAAAGTTCTTGCAACGTCCTTAGTTTACATACATACATAATGCAACAATAATTTCACTTTTTGTCTGTTCTGTTCAGTTAACAAAAAGCATCATACGGGAAAAATATTTGTTCATCAAATCAAATATTAATATTTAATAAAGTGAACATTTCTGCATGCATAAAGTATTATTGAAAAATAGTTACATCAATCTTCTTACTGTAATTCTTCTACTTTATGGGATTTTGTTAAAAAAATGTAAGTGTAGAAACCCTTGCCATTTACTGGAAGAATTTTGACTGTATCCTTAATTTTTAACATTCATTTTCTTATTTTATATAAAAGGGAGTTGAATGAAAAGAAGTGGAGTTTATGCTTGTTTGGTTCATAAAACAACTTATTTTCTCAACAAAGTTTTGAGCTAGCATGGAACTTTGGGAAACTAAACCATACTGGATTCTATTTTGGTTGAATCATTGTTTAGATTGGCTCAAACAGTTTTACTAGCCTCTTGATTGGCTCAAACTATCAATCAACACATGCATGCACTTATGTTCGATGAACTGAGGCCCAAATTTTCTTAATTGATCTCCATTGGGTTGCTTCATAATAACGTAATGGGCCATCAGTTTTTTGACTTTGGTATTAGTGCTCATGTCTGGCATTTCCATTACATATGTGCATTAACAACCATTTCACATGTCCATCAATGTTATTAGAAAGGAAGGATTTTTTCCCTTTGCCATTGATTGGGGAGGAATTCCCCCAATGGGAGAAGGGTGAGTTCTTGAGTTTGGGAGAAGAAAAACATGTGCTTGACTTTGTGAAGGGCCACGATACGAATAACATAAGTTGATGAGAATAACAGCACGAGATATTTCTCTCTTTATGCTCTTCTCTCCACTCAAGATGTTCAACATAACGGTGGATGTTTTCATAGATGTTCTTTTTATAAGGAGCAAGTATTTGAATGTTAAAGTTTCCAAATACATGAAAGATCAAATTGGCCAAAAAGGCAAGTAGAGTGATATTGAAATAAAGTTACCTACCTATGAAGGGATTTAAATTTAAGCTTTTTAATTATTATTCCATGCTCTAAAAATGATTGTTGGTTATTAATGGACTTGCAAAGAGTGTTGTGCATGATGAATGACCCAAATCTTGATGCAATGGCTTACTTTGTAACCTTATCATTAGCCTATGTCTTGGTATTACTTCGACTCCACCAGATTTCAAAGAACTCTGCTCTGTAGAGTTAAAGTCTATGTACTCATCAACATGATTTGAGGCAGCTTCTCTATATTTTCTTTGGCCATCCAAGTTTCTTCAGAAGGATGTTGATTTATCCATTTGACTAAGAGTTTAGATGATGTGCTTATTGGTGGAGAGAGTTCTTCTAAAATAATGTCATATGTATCTAAGAATTGTATGATATGGGAAACTTGTAAAATTGGACTAATGTCTCCTATGATAGGGTTAACTTGCAAATATTCAAGCTTTATTTCCTGATGAAACATTTTATCATTAATATTAAAAACATGACTTATGCACATGTTAGAAGAAAATTCAAGATAATATTGATCCAAATCTCTTAAGATTTTTACTATATTTTTTGGGATAACGCTTTGGTCGAATTCGAATTAAGACATGATCTACTTCATTATATCCTTTAGAAGATTATTTTGAATTTATTACAATTGTTTATTTATTATTTTTTAATTAAAATTGCTGTTTTACTTATTTATATAAAACATGAAAATTTTGTGCAAGATTGAATGTAGCATCAAAAAATGACTGATGAGAATTATCTATCCTATCAATTGGTTTCTTTGGTTTATAACTATAGATGATTTTGAAAGGTGTTTTTGGAATCGTTCTAGAAATAACACTTATATATATACTATGATGCACCGACACGGACACGTCGACACGGACACGACACGACACGGACACGGGACACGGCATTTTTTAAAAATATAGGACACGGGTGCGGCGTGGACACGGCATAATAATTTTTTAATATAATATATATAAATTAAGATGACATTATATTAAAAATGACAAGCAATAATAAATCAATTTCATGATAACTTGTTTAGCTTATAACATAAAAATGTTTAGTACAAAATGTCTAGTACAATCACAAAAATATAAGTAAAAACCCATTTAGTACAACATGAAGGTCCAACTACTCAATAGAGGGAATAATAGAATTAAATTCAGAGATTGATCTTTGTCCTTCATTATCATCATCATTGAATATCATTGCTTCCAACTCTGGTTCATCTAGAGAAAGATCTGCAACCTCCAATAATCTCATATCATCAAGGAAATAAGAAATTTAGTTTAAATCTTGCAAAATAAAATAAATTATATTTAAAAAAATTCATAAAATATTTAAGATACGCATGTCGGACACGCGTGTCTAAGTTGCATTTAATATTTTTTAATCGGACACGTTTTCGGCGTGTCCGATACGTGTCGGAGGAGTGTCGGACGAGTGTCGTGTCGGACACGGTGTCGGACACTGCACGCCTCTTTGAGGAGAAGTGTCGGTGCATCATAGTATATATATATATATATATATAAACACAAAAGTAGATAGATGTATGTCTCAAATGTTAATATTCTTACATTCTAAACACTTTAGTAGTTGCCTAAGGAATTGTTATTACTTATGTTTGACCATTTATTTGTAGATTAAATTTAGATGAAAATTTTAATTTTATTCTAAATAGTTTCCATAGTTTTTTTCAAAAATATAAATTAATCTAACATCCCTATCTAAAACTATTTTTTGATGGTAAATCATGTAGTCTAATAATTTGTTTGAAGAAAAGTATGGCTATGTGGGCTTTATCATTAGTTTTTGATTAAGATAAGAAATGTATCATTTTAGAGAATCTATCAGTTAAAAAAAAAATATCATGCTCACAAAGAATATTTGACAATCCTAAAATAAAATTCATTTAAAGGTCATAAGAGGTCGGGAGGGTTGTGTGCTTGTTAAGTTTTTGTTTAGTTATTTTGGCAAATTTGCTTGTGAGAATTAGAAATAATGTGTTCAACCTCTCTTTTTAAGAAGGGCAAAATAAATTTTAATTCTACTAGCTTAAATATATTTTTCTTACCAAAATATCCTAATATACCCTAAAAATGAAGCTTTTTTCATCAGAAATTCTCAAAGAGATGATTTAGAGATATAAAATTTATTTTCTCGATAAAGATAATTTTAAAGAATAGAAAAGATGCTAGTCAGAGTAATAGGTTTATCCAGGTGGTCATTATAAAAAAAGACTAGACAAAAAGTTAGATTTGATTCTTGGAAATTAGGGATTTATGATTCTAAAGAGGAGATGACTAAAGTGTATGATAAAGGATCAACATTTTATTCTTCATACTTGGTTGTGTGTTCAAATGAAAGAATATATATGTAGAATAGTCCACCTCTCTGTTGATCAAATGTGGGCTCCGAAAATTCGTGCCTCGGCCTCCCCTGTGCTTCCGACATAGTTTTAACGGATTAAGTCCCAGGGTAAATTTTTGGAAGGCAGATTGAGTTTGTAGATAACACATTACTCGTATAGTCATATATTTAGCCCTTATTTTGCAAGGACTTTATGATTTGAGTTCTGGTTTCCTATAGGCGCAAGCCCCTATAACTGAATACCCCTCCCGGTAACGAGAGAGAACTTTCGATTAAGGCTAGTTGTCGATCAATTATGTAAAGATACATGTATCTAACATATAGTAGCTGCATGGGTTTATGTTTTTGAAAGTTTGATATTTAAAATTGGAAATTTACTAGCTTGCACTTAAAACGGATAGTGGGGGAATGGATGATGGACCCGATCAAGATCCCATGGTTTCGTCGTCCCGGACCATCGTGGTCCCTGGTCTACTTAGTCAGAGGAGGTAGTCACAGGTATACAAGGTACCCTTAGACGAAGCAACCCATGGCTGCCAATAAGGATCTTTTTGTTAGGTTGGGTCGACTACCTTCTCTGACTAAGTAGACCAGGGACCACGATGGCTCGGGACGACGGAACCATGAGATCTTGATCGGTTCCATCTTCCATTCCCCCACCATCCGCCTTAAGTGCAAGATGGTGAAAATTTCCATTTTAAATATCAAATCGTGAACCTCTAACATCCAAACTCTTCAAATTCGTGAATTCCTTAAGCCCATGCTGCTACTATATGCTTGATACTAAGTATCTACGGATATGATGTATCTGATTAATGACTAGCCTTAATAGAAAGTTCTCTTTCATGATCGAGAGGGGTAATTAACTGTAGGGGTTTGTGCCTATAGGAAACCAGAACTCAGATCATAAAGTTCTCGCAAAATGAGGGCGAAATCTCTGGGTAGTGTCTTATCTACAAACCCATGTCTTCCAAAATTTACCCCGGAATTTAATTCTGTTAAAACTCCCTCGCCAAAGAAAAGCAACGATGACGGAGGCTGGGGCCGAATTTTCGGAGCCCACAATTGCAATGGAGGGGGTGGTTAGGGCTTGGGAGGGAAATTAAATTAGGAAAGTTTATGTATTAAAGAGCATGAGATGTTTTAGGGAGAGGTTAGGTTTTGTTTTGTTCTCCATTAGGGTTTCTATGCGACTTGGGCTCTAGACTCTCTTGTCTAGAGATTTGGGAGAGACGATCCTCTTCTCAAATTGAGGATCACTTGTATCTTATTTTCGTGCTTGTTTGGCTTTGATTTTCGTATTACAATCTATCATTTGTGCTGTTTTTCTCCCAGATTTTGTGCTATTCTCGCTGTTTTTCACCAATTCGTGGTAGTTTTCCTTGCGAACTCAAGTATTACCCTTAGGATTACTTGTGAACTCAAGTATTTCCTATCAGTTTACTGGGAAAAATACTGTTTAATGGCATGGCCTTCCGCTTGATAATATGATTTTACAGATGAAATATATTGTATCTCCTCTTTTCTTTTTAGAGAAGATTCCATGTCTATGGAATATTGCTGGATTTATTAATTACTTCTGAATACTGTCATCAGTACCCATATGAGCAATCAATTTTATAATTCACTTGAGATCTGAATGCTTAATGGATCCATCCCAATTTAGATAGTGATGTTATTTTTTTATTTTTCTTTTTTGGTGCTAATTGAAGTATGTCCACTTCTTTTGGTTTGGTAGAGAGGCAGGCAGTGAACAGTTCTGCTGTCTTTCTCATTCATGGAAGCAAGGTTGATTCCTCCGGGCCGGAGGCAAGTAACACAGTTTCTGGAAAGAAACGAAGTAATTCTGATTCAGCTTACATGGGTTTTATAACCGAAAAAAACAGACGAGTATGTGCAGATGCAGCTGAATGTTCTCGTTCTGTTAAGGTGACAGTCAACATAGCAGTTGAGTTTGTTCTTCTCTTCCACAATGTTCAATGTTTCTCTACTCAAGCTTCGTATAACTTTTAACCTCAGATGCTTGGAAAAGAAGTTATTAGTGATAGGTCCGGGAAAAATCAGGAAGATGAAATGCAGTTTCCCATGCAAGTGCCATTAAGGCCAACATCATTACATTCTCTTCTTAGCAGTAGATCTTCTTTGCTTGCTTCCAACATGGAGCTATCTAGCCGCCCTATGATTCCTGGTTCAATGTTACATTACCAATCCCGTATTGGTAAAAGTGGGCCATTTTCATCTTCATATGTCTCCAAGGATGCTGCCATACTTATGTCCCAACCTGCAGCAGATGAAGGTTCTAGGACTGGCATGAAAGGCTCTGGAGCTTTGAATATTGTTTCCTCCAGCAGCGTACCTGGTAAAAGAAGCATAACTAGGGTATTAGCTTATAGTAGCAGTCCAAAGTATTTACAGATTAATGAGCCTGAATCATCAAACGCATTGAGGTTGATCCTAATTTTCATATGGAATGCATTTGTTGAATTATTTTGACTCACAGCAAAAGGGTTGACTTCATGTTTATTTATTTAACTTTTTACAGATATAATGGCATGCAAAATGTTGGTCGTCAAATGACCATATTTTATGCTGGTCAAGCCCATGTCTTTGATGATGTTCATCCAAATAAGGTTAGCTAAATAGTCCTATTTATTTATTTATTTTTTAAACATTCAACATATAATATGACTCTTAGTTCCATTAATGCAACAGATGCCTTTTGAAAAGACATATTTTAAAAGGTTTGTTAACAAAAAAAGGAAAAAAACTGTCTTATTGAGCAATCAATTCCGTTCTTCAATCTTGATATTGGCATGGCTGTTGCGACTTGATCTTTAGTTTGGTCGTTTTTAAATGGCAAACTAAGACATGAAATTTATTACTATTAGAATTCTTGAAATTAAATTATAATGAACTAAAGTTTGTTGACCTCCTCACAAGAGTCGAGGCTCGCAAATCCCGCTCAAATCCCGCAAAATACCTGCAATTCAACGACGTTTGTCTTCTCCTTGAATTTTTTCTCAAATCACGTACTGCTTCGGCCCTCGTCGTTAAAAAGAAATCGAACGAGGCTTTCATTTGTTTCTTCTTCCACTGCCGAGCCCTTCCTCAAATTGTTGTAGCCTCAGTTTTTTCCACCAACAACCCCAATCTCGTCTGTAAGCCGACTTGATCCTCCATATGCAAGATCGAGCTTCCCGGCTCGTTCTCGTTTGAACCCTACAATAGAACCTCGATCAAACAAGATCCGACCGATCCGACACCACCAGCTCTTACGCGAATCCTGCATGTCTCCAGCCTATTGCCATCCATATGACGCAATCTATCGATTTCTCCCATCTCAACTTTGCTCCGAACTACCTCAACTCGCCTCGTCCCTCGGACCGTCAAATCAGTTGCTTGATCCACATGATCCCGATTCGACTCCACATTTGAACCCAATCATCCCAGCCGAATTGCTCGACTGACTCATTTTCATCTACAATTGATATGTCGGCACTCGATCAAACTAACCCCCTTATACACTGACCCTTCACTGTGTCGTAGCCTAGCTTGCCAATCTCCTCTTCCCTGTCGTGCCGACTCCACTTCATCTCACAGTTTTCAAATTCTCTCCCCAAAAAGCTCCTGCTGCACTTAATCTCACACATCTCCACTTCACAACCAAACCAATTTAACATCCAGGGGCCCAAGCCCAAAATAGCCCGATCAAACAATCCCACAACCCCAATCTCCTCTAACAATCTTTTATTTTCATTATTGTTATTATTATTATTACTATTATTAATTATCATTAGTAATTAATAATATCAATTTTCATTATTATTGTGTTCCTTGTAGCTTAAACGTCTCTTCCACTTTTATAAGAGTTATCCTTCTTATGGGAGGATTATGTCCAAGAAATCAGTAGGTACTTGTGTTCCTTGGTTAAACAGTATTGGCAGAGGTGGTACCGTAACACTATCAGTGTGCATGATATATTATGTCGCAATGCCAAACTTTCAAGATCATTTGCACTTTCAAGGCCCACAGATGTCAGAAATGTTTTCTCTCACACAAAAGGCAGAAGAAGAAACTTTGAAACATCATGAAGTTTAGTTCGAATTTGATCAAACATCTCTTCCATTTTGCCAGGAAGAATGGTGCCCTTGTCACACAATGTTGACCTCTGTTATGAATAAAAAAAGGTAAGAGCAAATAAACAAATACATGAATGATTACCTCTTCCGCAAATCCATCCCGTATCCCTGCTGATATCAAGCCTAAGTAATGCAAAATCCAGTCGCAGAGCTATTATTCGGTGTTATTTCAGAAGCCCATACCCGCATGTGAAGGTCTTGCCTCGATCGTTGCTCTCACTTGCGTTAAAATGAGACCGAAGCCTCAGACGTCGGATCCTTCTTCCTCTCGCTCATTTTCCTTCACGCGACATCTTCCTCCAAGCCGTCCGACCTCCCTCCGACCCGAACCTTTCTCCCACAACACCAGCTTTCGAAATCCACAAGCCCTCCGACCTCGATCCGCCCTAGTCTTGATGTCCAAGCTTCTGATCTCCTCTCCTCCTCCCTCTCTATCCAAGTCAACTTATCCCCATCTGAAGCAAAATCCCGAACTCCTCTAGCCCCCAACCTTTGGATTTTCTCAAATCAAGAGAGAGAGAGAGAGAGAGAGAGAGAGAGAGAGCTTCTTCCCCATTCCTTTTCTCTAACACGAGCTCCATAGACTTCTGACCTTGACCCGCCAACCTCCTTTATCGAACCACTACAGCCGCGAGCTCCCTTCGCTTCTTGCTATTCTACCTGCCTCCCCCGAAGCCGAGCTCCTCACTTTGGTTTTCAAAAAAAAGAAGAAGCATGCCTTCTCTCACCTCGATCAATGAGCCAACCCCGTCGTCGACACAAAAAGGGTAGAAATTTCTAACTTAAAAAAAAAAATCCTACACTCGATGCTTGCAACGAACCGACAAACCGCCTACACGCTCACGTAGCATAGTAGGGAGGGAAACCGACACGGCGCTTGCGACGATGTGGGTAATCCCCGAAGCGCTCATGTAGCATGAGGGGGACGACAAATAAGTACCCATACGTAGGGAAACGACTGTGCTCCTTTGAACAGATACCTGAAGAACCTTAAACGCTCATATAGTGGGGGGGGGATTAAAGAATTTTTGTCCGCGGTATCATTTGACACCTACCTGAAGCACTCAAGTAGCTACGAGGGGAAGGCTAGTCTCTCGGATTTTCTCCTAAACGGGGGAGATGTCGGGAGGCTGTCGGAATTTGAACTGAAGATTCAAGGACTTGGACTAAATGAACAATAAGAAGACTTGATATTGAACTAATAATAACAAACTGAATCTAATTTAATTTGCATATAATTTGGAATCAAGCAAAAGACAACAAAGTATAAAGAACATGAGCTTGATTTGGATCAGATGTCAAAGATTTGAACTTAAACAAATACAAGCGAACTCAATGAACATTAAAAAAAATGACAATGAATTTGGACTCAAACTTGAGCTGAATTTGAACATGATTCGATCATTTGAACTCATGTAAGGACTTGAGTTGGACCACAGGGGACTTGAACAATACTTGGGACTACAGGGGACCTAAACATAGAACTTGAGCTTGGGTGAACTTTAAAGAGCTAAGCTCATGATGGCATGGAACTTGAAATGAACTCGAATTCGAAGTCGGATTCAAACTTGAACTCAAAAAACTTATACTTGAACTTGAATAATCACAAAGAGCTTGATTTAATAATGACATCAAATTTCCGATAAATGATGATGAGTTGCCATTTTGAATGCAAATGTTAATCAAGGAAAGACTTGGAAACATTCAAATTTCATATAAGCAACCAAAGACTCTTGGTGTATGAAGCATTAACATCTCATTCATTAGCAATGAAATTAAAATGAATTGTAAATCAAACTTTTGTGAATTATTGAAGCTGATAAAACATCAATAAGCATGAATGAGGAAGTTGTAATGAGTATACCTCACCTTCGAGTTATGAAAGGTGAAGCGATAAGAGTACAACTTGATTACCAATGATGGTTCAATGTCCTCTTCAATGAATATCATTGTAAGCAACAAGGTGAAGCACTTCGATCATGAATGATAACCAATATGGAGTGAACAAACGAGGCACATAGATGATGTTGATTGCAGTGATTTCTTATGACACTCTTAACTCATCCATGGGCCAAGTTCAAATTATCTATACTTACAAACCTAAATACAATACAGGGAACAAAGTCCAAATTCCGAATGATAAATACACATGAAAGGAATATATGATTGGGTCCAAACCCTGATGATTAACCAAGAATGAATCTTGAATAGTTGAGCAAACATAAAAATGCAAATGCCAATTAAAGTTCCGAAGTATTTGATTGAATATCAACAAGCAAATGCTGCATCTCTTGGCTACCATTATTATATAGTTATCTATATAAAGCCTTGTTATCAAAGCCGATCAACTCACAAGCAAGTACAGTAATCCATGAACGGGTGACAACATTGAATGAATTATGAATGCATTGATACACTTAAAAACAATATATGGAGATATAATCACCTCTATGAAGTTAATTATGCAAGCAAATACATTTGTCCCATACAAGTGGAGGGATTTGGCATGCAAGTGGATATAATAATTCACCAGTCAATAAGGCATGAAATATATACAGATGAACGTAATGGCGTCTCCATCATCAACAACGATTCAACTCTGAGAGGATGCAACTATGAAGGATATTAAATGCAAACAAACAACAGTCGCCAGTGGAGGATGAACAATTACAAGCAATGAGTAATGATGAATAAGTTCTTTTCATCCTATTTATCAATAACAAGCAAGATGAATACATAGTTTGATGGTCGAATTGCATCTGGTGTAGGCATTTATGATTCGTTGAAGAATGCTTGCCACACAAGCAACATACTATCTATAAGTGAATATAAGGAAAATTGTAATGAAGGAGAACACCTACATGCAGCATTGGTGAAAAAAAAAAGTCAATGATATTGCGGGAAGCCCATCACACATGAGCAAAGGCATATACATACAAATGTGAGGGGAAGTTTCTTTCATGTGGAAGTCCAGTCAAAGATTACGATGAACTGTAGTGGATGCTAAACCTTTTCATAGTTAGCAATTACTTAATATCATTCAAAAACACTGATTCCTTACAACCAGGAAGATTCAATACATAGTGAAAACGATGATTTGACACATTTAGAGGCGTTCAAGTGGATGCTAACACACTGCAGTGCGCTCATCAGAGTTAATAACTTAGGTGTGACAAATGTGCTGTTAAAGATTAATGCAAAGTTTGGTGGCCCAAACTCACAATTACAAATAAAGAATACATGCTCCATTCCAACTATCCCAGGGGCTGCAACAATCAGTTTATGAATGAATATCTCGTATATTTATTCTATACGATATGATCTACTTGTAATCGCTGCAATGTGAAATTTCATGATACCAATTGAAATTGCTCTGATACAAATTGAAATTGCTCTGATACAAATTAAAATTAATAGATGCGCCAAGAGGGGGGGGGGGGGCTGAATTGGACTATTAAAAAAAATTCTTAAACAAAAAATAAATATCTTTT